CAAATGCATTGAGGCAGCTCTTAAACATCATGCCAAGATCTGGAAGCTCAATCTGACTTGGCTGCCGTACCTCAAGATATTTTTCTTGGGCAGTCATTTTTCTTTTCCCCAAGCCAGCTACATAAGCCAAATACTTAATGGTTCCCATTCCCAAATTCAGAACAGCCCTGGGAAGATTGAATGACCTCCCCGCTGCTGTTCTCAAGGGGAAATTTGGGGGTATCCCATTTGGACAAGGCGTTTACTCCTGTGGTGAAGGACTCTCTGAAACATCCACCATTGTTTTGTTATCTAACTCCATTAGAAACTGACTTGGCTTCAGCCAGTAACTCTTCACCTAGCCAGTTTTCTAGGCCATCCATTTTATTTATGGTTGTTACTATCCAATCTACGTGATTTATTTCTCAGAACGTGGCTAAGTGTTGTTTTGCTGTTTGCCAAAACTTGGTCCGTGCCAGTTATATATTTGATGGGTCTTCACTGTGGGTTTTACTTGCTGATTCACCATGTGCTTTGTTTTAGAGATGGTCAATGATTTGTAATAAGTTTACGGGTTTTTCCTGAACTCTTTTCTCTGACTCCTTTTCTTTCGTTCTGCAATATCCTGGTTAACAGAAGGGGGGAAGTTGTTGGAATAACGATGGTGCCAAAAGAATGAAGAGAATCTCACATCCTTCTTGGTCTCCTTGCAATCAAAGGAAAGAATCATGTTTTCCATCTGTGCACAATTTCCCGCAATGAATATGATTCCCCCCCCTTTCCTTATTTCTTTTTAAAGTACAGTACACGCAGAGAGATTTCCTTCTACATAATTTAAAAAGTTTGGCCATCTGGGAAGTCAAACTTTTCCCCCGTTGAATGTTTGTTTCTTTGCGGTAACATGGAACATGTGTTTTGAAATTTTATCTTAATTTCACTGGTATGAAATACAGGTATTCCTCAATTTACAGCCATTTGTTTAGTGATTATACGAAGACACAAAGGCACTGAATTAACAGAGTTGGAAGGACCTTGGAGGTTTTCTAGTCCAACTCGCTGCTCAAGCAAGAGACTCTATACAATTTCAGACAAATGGCTGTCCAGTCTCTTTTTAAAAGCCTCTAATGATGAATCACCCATAACTTCTAAAGGCAAGTCATTCCACTGGCTTATTGTTCTCACTGTCAAAAAAATTCTCCTTAGTTCTACGTTGCTTCTCTCCTTGGTTAGCTTCCATCCATTGCTTCTTGTCTTGCCTTCTGGTGCTTTGGAAAACAGACTGATCCCCTCTTCCTTGCGGCAGCCCTTCAAATATTGGAACACTGCTATCATGTCTCCCTTAGTCCTTCTTTTCATTAAAAGGTCAATGTAAAGGTTTCCCTCGCACATATGTGCTAGTCATTCCTAACTCTAGGGGGCGGTATTCATCTCCATTTCAAAGCTGAAGAGCCAGCGCTGTCCAAACACGTCTCTGTTGGTCATTTGGCCAGCATGACTTAATGCCAAAGGAGCATGGAACGCTGTTACCTTCCCACCAAAGGTGGTCCCTATTTTTCTACTTGCATTTTTTACGTGCTTTCAAACTGCTAGGTTGGCAGAAGCTGGGGCAAGTAACGGGAGCTCATCCCGTTACGCGGCATTAGAGATTCGAACCGCTGAACTGCCGACCTTTTGATTGACAAGCTCAGCGTCTTACCTTAAACACTCAAAGAGCCACAAAGGTCCTAACCAGAAGCCTCCCATTCAATTCTGGAGCTGACCGGAAGTCCGGTTCCCCCACCATAGAGTCTCCTCCTAGCGTGGCGTCCTTTTTCCTCTGCCGACCGGAAGTCCGGTTCCCCCACCATAGAGTCTTCCCCTAGTGTGGCGTCCTTTTTCCTCTACCTGTCCTAACTGAAAGCTATATCAATTGTGGAGTGGACCAGAGACAGGGAGTTGCAGCAGAGGGATGAAAGAGCCACATGTGGCTCCAGAGCCGCGGGTTGCTGACCCCTGGGCTAAGCTTTGCCCACAAAAGATTTCAGGGGCAATGTTGGATTGGTTGGTTGCTTCTGATGGTGACAATTTGAATGGAGATTGTTTATTCTAACGCAATGTTTCTCAAGGTCAGCCAATTTAAGAGGGATGGACTTGCTGGCTGGGGAATTCTGGGAGTTGAAGTCCATACCTCTTAAAATGACTGCTCTAGATAAACACATATCCTAATTCTAATTCATTATATTTATATTCTGCCTTCCCTATACAATCTCAAGCAACTAACCTAACACTCTTTATGTCCCCCAGAACAATCCCACGAGGTAGATTGGGCTAAGAGAGAGGGACTGGCCCGAAGTCACCCAGCCAGCTTTCATGTCTATGGTGGGACTGGAACTCAGACACTCCTGGTTTCTAGTCCAGTTTCTAAGACCACCATTCCACCCAGCTGGTTCTCTTGACTCTTAGTGACCACATGATCACTTTCATTTCATTTCCTTGGCAACAGCACAGAAGCACTGCCACCTCTGGGACGGTGCCCCCCTCCCATTTCCCAACCTCACTCGCAGCCTCCTGTCTTTGTGATCTCCCACCCAAATAAGGACCAGACCTGACCCTGCTTAGCTTGAGCTTAGTCCCGACCAGTGATGGGATTCAGCCAGTTGGCACCACTTCAGGTCAACAGGTTGTTAACTTTCTCAGCAGTTTGGTGAACTGGTTGTTGGAAGAAATTATTAGGGCAGAGAACCGTTTATTAAATTATTTGAATCCCATCACTGGTCCAGATCAACCAAGTACTGACACCAGGGCTTCAGCTGTCTGCGTGTCAATAGGAAGTATGCACCTGCGAATAGATACATACAGAAATATACAGGTGATTTTTGAAAGCACTATCGTTTTAGATCAATTTGTTCCAGGCTCAGAAGGTGGCAGTCAGGTTACTTGAATTGAGTGGGACCACAAGGGCTGCAGAGAGATAAATAGTCCCAGACTCCTTTCTTTCATTGTCTTTGGCATCTTGGCTGAAAGAAGCTTCGTGTCTTTTTCTGGCAGGAAATCCATTAAAAGTCTAGATAAAAGAAGCTTTGAATGGAGTTGGTTCCCCCCACTGCCGCCCTTAGCTTTAACGCAAAGATTTGCGCCTCTTGTCCGTTTGTTACAGCAATTAGCGAAACAGAAGCCTCATATAACATGCACGGTTCCATAATTTTCAGGGGCGCCTGGAGTAAAAAAAGGCAAGATGGCGGCTGCCCTGGTGTGATCCACGCACATCTAAATCCCGCTGAGGTGTGATCCCTGGGGAGGACGCTGCCATCTCACCTTTTTTTTTTTTGGACTCTACCATGGCTAGGTGGCTCAGTGGCTAAGACGCTGAGCTTGTCAATCAGAAAGGTCGGCAGTTCGGCGGTTCGAATCCCTAGTATAGGTCTCCTGTGTGAGCAGGGGGTTGGGCTAGATTACCTGCAAAGCCCCTTCCAACTCTGTTACTGTTATTGACCCTTCCCCCCAAGATGTTGACCTTTGCTTTGCTTTGCTCCTCCAACTTTTGCCTCCCAACACGCCACCAACCGAATAGAATAGAGTAGAATAGAATAGAATAGAATAGAATAGAATAGAATAGAATAGAATAGAATTCTTTATTGGCCAAGTGTGATTGGACACACAAGGAATTTGTCTTGGTGCATATGCTCTCAGTGTACATAAAAGAAAAGATACATTCATCAAGAATCATAAGGTACAACACTTAATGATAGTCATAGGGAACAAATAAGCAATCAAATCATATTAGGAAACAGTCAATATAAATCGTAAGGATACCAGCAACAAGGTCATAAGTGGAAGAAGATGGGTGGTGGGAACGATGAGAAGATTAATAGTAGTGCAGACTTAGTAAATAGTTTGACAGTGTTGAGGTATTTGTTTAGCAGAGTGATGGCGTTCGGGAAAAAACTGTCCTTGTGTCTAGTTGTTCTGGTGTGCACTGCTCTATAGCATCGTTTTGAGGGTAGGAGTTGAAACAGTTTATGTCCAGGATGCGAAGGGTCTGTAGATATTTTCACAGCCCTCTTTTTGACTCTTGCAGTCTACAGGTCCTCAGTGGAAGGCAGGTTGGTAGCCATTGTTTTTTCTGCAGTTCTAATTATCCTCTGAAGCAGGGGTGGGTTGCTCCCGATTCGCACTGGTTTGCAAGAACCGGTAGTAAAAATTTGTAGTAGTTCGGAGAACCGGTAATAACATTGGCTGGCCATGCCCTGGAACCGGTCCCCGGTCTGGTCGCCGCTGGCTTACCCCGCCCACCTCATCAGAGGTTTTTTTTAAAAAAAAAACTTTTAAAAGCATTTTTTCTACAACCTCTTCGGCGGAAAAAATGCTTTTAAAAGTAAAAACAAAAAGCCTCTGATGATTGCGCGGCTCAGCTGGGATCGTCAGTGGCTCCTGAAAGTATTTTTTTCTGCAACCTCTTCTGCCAAAGAGGTTGTAGGAAAAAAAATGCCTTTAAAAGCCTCTGGCGATCCCAGCTGAGTTGCCTGATGGTCAGAGGCTCCTGGAAAGCAATTTTTCTGCAACGTCTTAAGATTGTAGAAAAAATGCTTTTAAAAGTAAAAAATAAAATAAAATTGGCCATGTCAATGTCACATTACCCCCACCAAGCCACGCCCACAAAATAAGCCACGCCCACAGAACTGGTACTAAAAAAAAAAAAAATTAGAACCCACCCCTGCTCTGAAGTCTGTGTCTGGCTTGTTGGGTTGCAGAACCAAACCAGCAAGACAGACACGGACTTGAGAGGATAATTAGAAGTGCAGAAATTTGCGGTCTCTAGCAAGTCGAGCAACTTATACGTCCGTCCGGACTTCCCGGCGTCAAGTCTGGGCTCAGCCAAGCGCTTCGCCGATCGTGGGAACCACAAAAGCCTCGCTCGCTCGCTCGCTTCTCCGCTCCCGCCTTCGGCCAGCAGGAGGCAGCCTTGCCTTTCCAAACCGGGCCCGCTTTCTCCCGCTCCGAGCAACCGTTCCAACTCTTCCCCCCCCAACCCCAAGCTCCCCGTTTCGCTTTCCCTTCGCTGGAAGAAGCCCTGACGTCACTTCGGTGGCTCGCGTTCGTTCGTTCGTTCATGCTTTTTTTTTTTTCCTTTTTTTTTTTCCCTCCCTTTTCCTTCCCCTCTTTCCTCCGCCGAAGCTTTTCGGTTCCAATCAGGCTTTTTGGCTGTTTCGGGCTGCCTTGGAATCCATGGTTTGTCGGGGGAACTTTCCGCCGCGTCTTTGAGCAAAAAGGCAGAAGAGCGACGAAGAGGCTTATTTGGTGGTGGTGGTGGTGGGGAGAAGGCTAACTTTTGGGGGGGGGACGGGAGGTGGAGGGGGGGGGCGGCAAGGCTTGTCCCGATGCAAGATGCCGAGCACCCGCGCTTTGATCTTCATGCTCACCTTCCAGATCTGCTCCTTGGAGACCGAAACGCCGACAGGTCAGTCAATTCCACCTCCCCGAGCGATTCGCTCCGTTTGCTCGGCTCGAGGGTTGCAGCGTTTCTGGGGGTGGTGGGGTAATCTCTTCTAATCCCTTTCTCGCCAAACTCCCCTGTCCTCCCCCGACCGCGCTCGGGGACTCCAGGCTTGGCGGTTGCGGTGCCTGAGCGTCTTTGTTTTTGGGGTGTTTTGTGTTTTTTTTCCTGTTTGTTTGTTTTTTTGCCTCCCCTTCCTCACACAACTTGTTTATCCCGCGGCTCGCCTCGCCTCTTCTGCCCGCGAACTTCGAAGGTTTTTTTACGCAGGAACCGAGCCAGAAGCTCCTTGGCTGCGACCGAGGAAGAGTTTGAAATTGACGTGTGTTGTTGATATGTTGGAAATTGCCCCCCCCACCCCCACCCCTGGTTGGCTTTCCTTGAAGCGCTGGTGTGCGCCGGCTTTTTTTGGGGGGGGGCAGCTTTGTTGTATTCCTTCCCCCCTCTTTTTGCAGAGGTTGTAAGAAACAAAAAAACAGTTGGGAAAGTCCTTTCTCTCTTCCTTTCTCTCTCTTTTCCTCTCCCTTTCTCTCTCCATCCCTTTCACACACTCTCTCCATCTCTCTCTTCCTTTCTCTCTCCCTTTCTCTTTTCCTCTCCCTTTCTCCCTCCCTCGCTCTCTCTCTTCCTTTCTCCCTCCCTTTCACACTCTCTCCCTCCCTCTCTCTTCCTTTCTCTTTTTTTCCTCTCCCTTTCTCCCTCCCTCCTTCGCTCTCTCTCTTCCTTTCTCTCTCCCTTTCTTTTTCCTCTCCCTTTCTCCCTCCCTCCCTCGCTCTCCCTCGCTCTCTCTTCCTTTCTCCCTCCCTTTCACACACTCTCTCTCCCTCTTTCTCTCCCTTTCTCTCTCTTTTCCTCTCCCTTTCTCCCTCCCTCCCTCGCTCTCTCTCTTCCTTTCTCTCTCCGTTTCACACACACACACTCTCCCTTTCTCTCTCCCCCCTCTTCCTTTCTCTTTCCCTCCCTTTCTCTCTCTCCCTCCCTCCCTTTCTCTCTCTCCCTCCCTTTCTCTCTTGCGCGGGTGCCTGTAACCAGCGCTGCAAGCGCTGAGAGGCATAAACCTCGTTTACTCCCGAGTATACCTGCCTAGGTGGCGTAGAGAGAGAGAGAGAGTCCCCTGCCCAATCCCCCCTCCTCTTTCCACCTCTCTGGGCTCCTCTCGAATGTTTCGAACATTCACACGGCGAATGTTTCCCAAGGCTCCCTTGCTGAGTCTGTGCGAATGGATCCTGTCCTGCCCTCTCCCCAACCTCAGGAATGCCAGTTAGTGGCTCTTCTACGCTTTTTGGAAGGTCTCCTTATGGAGGCTTAAAAAGACTTACTCCCAAAGTAAGCGGGGTGATGGTGGTAGTGAGAATAACACAGCCCTTAAAAATACTTGCCCAAGCCAAGCCAAGCCAAGCCAAACGAGCAAAGCTGCTGGGATTTGGACTTTGTTCCTTGATACCTATACACCCTCCCTTCCTTCCTCCCTTAGTTAACCTGGAACTAAAGGGCCTTAGAGATTTACTCTATGGTGCCTGGGTGGGGTGGGGGGGAGGCAGGGAAGGAAGGAAGAGGGAGAGAGTGAGGGAGCTTCCACCTTTCTTTCCTACTCTACAATCGCTCCCAAAGCTTTCCTGGGCTGATTCTTTCCTTTCACTGATTCTCCCTAACTATGACTTTTCCTTATGAATCTCAGAAGCCTCGTCTGAGTGCTGGGGGTGGGTGGGGGCCACGTTGTTTTGTTACTGACCCCACTTTGTATTTAGGCACGAGAGGGAAAGTGAGTGGGAAATGCAAGGCAAGGACGCTGGGCTGAGCTTCTTGTTGTGAAGCCTCACTTTCCCTGGGGGTGGGTAGGTGGGGTGGTCTTTGAAGTGTCCCCAATGAAGCAGGGAGTCTTTGCTACACCGACTTTACCTACTAACCAAACATGCTATTTGCTAATAGCGGCTCTGTGCATAGGAAAACGGGGTTGATCTGTGTCCAAAACGGATTGATTGATGCCCGTTTCCTGTATATATTTTTCCTGCCTGGAATAAATAGTTTCCTTCCTCTAAATCCCTTTTTTTTTGTTTTTTGCCAACAAAGCGGCAGAAAAAGATAAAAAATGCCGAAAAGGAGGCTCCATTTTTTTGTCAAAAAAAAAAAAAAAAAAGATAGCTGAGGCAGGCAAGTTCTCTTAAAGAAGAGGGGGGGGGGCTTGATCTACCTGATTTCTGTCCAAAATGTAGATGGTTTGTAATCAAATTCTTATGAAACAAAGTGTTGTTATGGGTCTGAAGTCTGCTCTTCTTTTTTTTTCTCTCCTCTGCTCAAATGCTACAATTAAAAAAAACAAACAAAAAAGTTTTACTCCAGCCGGGGCATTTGGCCAAAGTTGACTGATATTTCTGTGGTGCACCAGCTGATGCATACATGGAAAAAAAAACATGTTTAGTGAGTTTGCAATGACCCCTTTGTGGCTTTTGCTGGCAGACAATCCCCTTAACCGAAATCCCTTTGATGGCTGTGTTTTGGAAGCCTTGTTGTTCCCCCTACTTTATTCTGGTCTGCTTTCACTTTTAGTGGTTGCCCCAAAAAACTGATCAGGTCTTGGGGGGACAGAGGATAAAATGCCAGACAGATAATTTTGTGCAGAAATTATTTGCGGATACCATTTTTTTTTTTTTTTTGCTGTGTGATTTAAGGGGAATGGAGATGTTTGGCAAAGGATTTTAATGGGAGCCATTCTCCTTTTGATACTGGGGCATAGCAGATAAATTGAGTAGCCTTGGAAAGCTCTGATAAAATATTATTATATTCCCCCCTCCTCCCCCCGATTTTTCCCAGGGAGGCTCCTGAGTGAAAAAAGGACTGATGTTGCTGTTGTTTAAGTGGGATCCAGTTCAGTGAGAATGTAATGATCCTCTTAAGCTTCTCTTTCCTTGTCTTGCTAGCTGATAGTGGAAGCTGAGCAGACACAACCAAGGAGACTGTTCCATTGGTGCCTTGGTGCCTCTTTTCTGTTTAGAAGAAGAAATGTGCTTTTCGCAAGAAGTGAGATCATCATGTCTGCAGGCCAAGTAAGGTTCTTGAAATGGAGCTGGGTTGCGACAGATCTTGCTCCCTTAAATGCCTATACGGGCTATTTTCATCCTTGCCAGCAGCCAGATGGTCTTCAAAATGATTCAAGCAACTACAGGTAGTCCTCGACTTACAACCAGAATTGAGCCCAAAATTTATGTTGCTAAGTGAGACATTTGTTTAAGTGAGTTTTGCCCCATTTTTACAACCTTTCTGGCCACTGTTGCTAATTGAATCACTGCTGTTGTTAAGAGAGTAACACAGTTGTTAAGTGAATCTGGCTTTCCCACTGACTTCGCTTTTCAGAAGGTCAGAAGGACACTGAGACCGTCATAAATATGAGTCATTATGTGACCATGGGGATGCTGCAACGTATAAAAGTATAAAAAATGGTCATAAGTCCATTTTTTCCCAGTGCCGTTGTGACTTTGAACAGTCACTAAATGAACTGTTGTAAGTCGAGGACTCTCTGTACACAGCCTGGTAGCCCTCATAGAGAGCTGTGGCTCCCTATGCAACGCATTCGCAGTTCTTGTGATGGAGTGAAATGGGACCATGAGGCTATGGCTTCCTTATAGGACAAGGAGGAAGGCCTTTTGTTATGAGATCACATAATACGATGATTGTCTTTCACTCCATTAATACTGAAGACTCTTATTAAAGAGAAGGACCAGCTTGGAAAGGGTGGGGTGCAAGAGAGTCCACCCTTTCCTTCTGGGAATGGTTTGTTTTCCATGTTGGTGATCCTTCTTCTGATTCTTGATCGTATCCGACAACTCTGCTTCCATCCTACATTTCCTAACTGAAACATTAGGCCATGCTACAGATAATTAATTTCTTCAGTTTACCCATAGATGAATAGCTACCGAGATTTTAGCTGTCTTTGGTTGCTGTTTTTCCTTGGGAGGTAGGATGACCGCATTCCAAGTGGTACCCTGTTTCCCCAAAAATAAGACATCCCTTGATAATAAGCCCAATCGGGCTTTTGAGCGCATGCGCTAAAATAAGCCTCCCCCAAAAAATAAGCCCTCCCCAAAAATATTTAAATGCAGAGCTGGATATCAGGTAAGACGGCAAGAGGAGCCCCGTCTTGCTCCACGTGTCCCAAAATAATAAGACCTCCCCAAAAATAAGGCCAAGTGCTTATTTCGGGGTTCAAAAAAATATAAGACAGCGTCTTATTTTCAGGGAAGCACAGTAGTTGTTCTAAGATTTTCTCAGTGACGTTTCCTCTTTGACATATGTGCCTTTCCTTGACCTGACATAACCTTTAAACAAATAGGTGCTCAGAAAACTGAGGACTTCAGGAATATTACAGATGTAAAGATGCCTACTGGGTCAACTCATTAATGTGGTTTGTTTGATACTGAGTTTGTAAACTTTGGCTTATGGATTAGTGGTGTGTTACTCAGATTATTGTGACTCAGCAGTGAGGAAAACAAATAAAGCAGGTTTTTATTAATGAAGGCGCAATTGGGCTTATGTTGGTGGTTTGTGTAGACGTATTAATCCAACCAATGAAAACAAACAGGGCTTACGGGATAAATACATCCCATCATCTTTCAGCCTATTGGTTCAAGTCTGTGGCAGGCATTTTGACGTTCATCAAATATTTGGGATTTCAACTCTCATACTTCCATCCTGACCCGCCACTGGGCGCTGTAACCATCAATGTGTTTCTGATTTCTAAACCAGCTCAGAATTGTTGACTTTGTCTGACGAGGATGCTGCAAAATATTCAGGATTGTGTGTCCTCCTCGAGTCTGTCTTGCGTTCAGGATTGCATCTTCTTCTCAAGTCTTATCTTGGGATGCAGGACATCGAAGTATACACTTGTTGCAAGCAGTGCATTTTCTACAGGTAGAGTACTGCATGCAATGCATTTTCTAAAGGTAGAGTACTGCATGCAATGCATTTTC